CTTCATCCATCAGAACAGAGCAGGGAGCCCAAGCAGAGCAGCACTGGAGATCAGGGGAGCCCAAGCAGAGCAGCACTGAGATCAGGGAGCCCAAGCAGAGCAGCACTGGAGATCAGGGTCTGCGCAGAGCAGCACTGGAGATCAGGGGAGCCCAAGCAGAGCAGCACTGGAGATCAGGGAGCCCAAGCAGAGCAGCACTGGAGATCAGGGAGCCCAAGCGACAGCTCGCCATGTGCATACTACCCCTGCAAGACTGCAATAGGCACGTGGCAGTCCTATTGTGCGTTTGTGCTGGTGGAGTCACTGGGCCCACTTGCTTGCCCCACACTTCATTCTCGGTCTCGCTATGCTCCCCGAATGGTTCAAGCCCTACTCACGGCGCCCACCAACCTGAGAGGCCCCCCCGCGCAGCGGACCCTGTGGGAGGGTCCTCCCCTCACCCCGGAGGGCAGGTTGCACTGGAATGCTAGAACCACCTCACCTGAAGCTGCACACTGGCGGCTTTCTTCAGCTTCCCTGCACCAGCCTGCACAGAAAGCGCTGAAATTGAATCATACACATCGCATGTGCCCTGATACGAGAGGCGCGGACGGAAGCTTGTTCCCGGGCGCTGCGACTGCAAGCAAAGCCATGCTATAGGACGTAGCGGAAACTTGTTCCCGGGCGCTACAGCTGCAAGCAGAGCCATGCTATAGGACGTAGCGGAAACTTGTTCCCTGGGCGCCAGCTGCAAGCAGAGCCATGCTATAGGACGTAGCGGAGATTTGTTCCTGCAAGGCGCTGTGCTACAAAGCAGAGTCATGCTATAGGACGTAGCGAAGACTTGTTCCTGGCGCGTGCTGCAAGCAGAGCCATGCTATAGGACGAAGCGGAAACTTGTTCCTGGGCGCTGCGGTTGCAAGCAGAGCCGACGGGCGAGACTTGTTCCTGGCGCGTGCTGCAAGCAGAGCGCATGTTATAGGACGTGCGGAGACTTGTTCCTGCTGCTGCGCTGCTGCAAGCAGAGCTATATAGGACGTGGCGGATACTTGTCTTGCAAGTGGCTGCAAGGAGCCAGTTATAGGACGTAGCGGAAATCCTGTTCCTGGCTGCTGCGTGACAGGCAGAGCATAGTTATAGGACACAAGGAAACTTGTTCGGCTAAGTGGCACAGGCAGAGCTTATATAGGACGTGGCGAAGACTTGTTCCCGGGCGCTGCAGCTGCAAGCAGAGCCATGCTATAGGACGTGGCGGAGACTTGTTTCCGGGCGCTGCGGCTGCAAGCGGTGCCGTGGAGCAGCCTGTCCAGGGCGGCGATTCAGTGGCTCCCCGAGGCCGGAGAGGGAGTGCAGTGGAAGGGTACCTGGCGGCGCTGCACTGCGAGCGCAACCGCCCCAAGGCCGAAGAGGCGGCCCATGTGGATATCGTTAGCCTCCTGAGCCTTGGCTGCCCCGGTGACCGGCTCCAGATTCACCGCCAGCAGTGCCGGCGCCAGCGTCATGGCGATGCATGGCAGCGACGACAGCACCGCGGCCAGGGACATAGCGAATCCTTGTCGTGCACCCTGCAACATCCCACCCGCTAACCCAATAAATCCTTTGCCACGCCGCCCCTGCAACATCCCACCACAACCTGGATAACCTTGTCGCGCACCTCAAGGCAACATCCCAATCTTCGCTAACCCACAAATCCTTTGCCACGCCGCTCAAACAGATCTCTCCCACCCTGCTCGCTCTAATACACTTTGCTGCAATATGCATCTCTCCTGTCTTCTCCCACTAGCCCCAGTGCAAAAACCCTTCTCACCCACTCAGCCCCAAACACCCCGTTAGTCCAGCAGACCTTGAATCTCCACCCTCAGTTATCCTAGCAAACCCATCCTTGCCTCACTCCTTGCAATCAACTATCCCCAGCTATTATAGCCCCAACAAACCCTTTCAAGGCTCTCACTCCTTGCACCACCCACCATTCCCCAGCTATTATAGCCTCCAACAAACCCTGCTCTCACCTCCTGCACCACCATCTCAGCTATTATTATAGCCCCAGCAAACCCTTGCCTCACTCCTTGCACCACCATTCCCAGCTATTATAGCCCCAACAAACCCTTGCCTCACCCGCAGTATTCTCCTCCCGTGTCCGCCCCCCTAAACCATTACCGGGCCCCCGCAACCCCTGCAACATTGCCTTGCGGTGACCTTTGCGTCCCCCCCTTCACCTAGACCCAACAAATGCTTGCCGCGCTGAGACAGGAGCCAGGGGGAGCAGGCTGCCAAAATGAGACCATTGGAGAATATGCTGGTTTGAGGGGAATATGCCGAGGGAGGGTGCCACTTCTCAGACCTGGGGACTATTTGGCACTCCAAAAGGCTTAAGGGGATTAAGTCATTTCTGAGGCCTGGAGGGAGAAAGGGCACATACTGAACTGACGAAATATGCCACTTGTGAGACTTGGGGAGGGGATATGCCGATCTGAGATTGAAGGGTTTAGTGGGGGCGGGGTAGAGCACGGTGGGCGGGCACAAACCTCACGGCCAGAAGACAAACCGCGAGTGAGACGGCGGAGGGCGTATGCCACCTGGGGCGCGCAGGGGGCCACGGCGGCCTGCACGATCACCCTCGTGGCCCACCCTCTGCTATCTCAGCACACACGGCTCATCCCCACGCATAAAAAACAAGTGACCCCGACGGCGCTGCCTGAGGTCGTCGCGCAATTGTGAGTCCCACGAGGGTGGCGCATGCCAGGGTGCAGGAATGCGCGCAAAGCCACTGCGCGGGACTGGCCACTGCTCCTGAGGGGGCGATAGCTTTCCGCGCGATGCACCCTTTCGAAGAGCGGTGGGCTTGTGGCGGCCAAACATTAACACCAGAAAGCCAACGACGTGACCTCGATAAGAGTCAGGGGATGTGGAGGCCGATCATCAATACGAGAGTACCACGACGTCACCTCGACCTCGATGCGACTCCTGCCCTGTCTGAAAAGGAGGCCGATCATCAACACCGGAGTACCACCGACAAGACCTTGATACGAGTCAAACCCCTGCTGATGTGGGGGCCGATCACCAACACCAGAGCACCACTGGCATTACCTCGATAGGACTCCTGCCTTACTGAAAAGCAGGCGAAACGTCAACACCAGAGCACTAACGACATGACCGCGATACGAAAAGTGCCCCTGAGACGAGGAGCTGGCCGTGCGGAGCAGAAGGCGGTGAATGAGACAGGACCGTGAAATTCGCCAGCCGCGCGTTGCCTCGAGCTGCGTCGCCCGACGGCCGTCGGAACGTTGCAGAGTGGGGTGAAAGGGAGGGGCCGAGGGCTCTCTTCCCGAAGAACTAGTGCATGGTAGTGGCTCATAGTAGAGAAAGAAGAAAGCACCTCGGCCTTTTCTTTGTCGGAGGCGCTGTCCGGCGGAGTGGGGACCTCCGTAGTTCCGTTCTCTTGATCGTGCGCAGCCTGAGCGCACCGCACAACCGCTCAGCGGGGGCGGAGCGCGCGACAGGCCAAACGAGAGCGGCGAGACCATAACTAAGACGACTGAAAACGCTCCGACTGCAGCCGTCGCGTTCCTTGCACTTCCACATATAAGAAGTGAGGAACTTGGAACGTTCGTCGGCATCTTTTAGCCCCAGGCAGATCACGACCGCAGAAGCGCAAACCAGCAGCTGAGAGGTTTGTGAAGACCGAAGGACGTCGTGCTCACTTGCGCGGCGCAAAGATATTTTACCAGCTCTTCTGTCGCGGCCTGGAAGCACCACCGATCACTACCTGAGTTCGAGTTCAGAATAATCTAGATAAGTGTGAAGATATGCCACAAGGACCACAAGGAGGATTGAGGACTGGCTGAAAGGTGAGGAAGTGAAAGGGACAACGGTTAACATTCGAAGTTAGTTGAGATTCTCTGGAGTGGTCCCGCTGAGAGCAGCTCAAACGGACAAGATTTAAAGCATCGAGGTAGTTACTTCCATGAGGCTTGAACGGACAAGTGCTGGAGTGTTGCAGCAAGGAGCTACTTTCAACACTCGCAGCGAACCAAAATCCACCGCAAGTTACGAACACGATGACCATACTTGGGGCAGAACTTACCTGTCGTCGTGAGCTCTCGAGAGCCGCCAAATCCCAAAACAACTGCAACACGGAGGAGTCGATGCTTCGAGCGTTGCTCGCAGCCACAGCTTTGGCCCCATCTTGCTCTTCGCCTGTTTCGAGTTTGAAAACAGCCGAGAGATAAATGCGAGCTCGTCGGAACTAGAAAATACGTCTAGCCAGGTTGACTCGAGGACCCACAGTTGATGAGCGCAAATGTCCCCAACAGAGAGTTGGCCAACGGGTACAGCTTGCGATACACCAAAGTAACACAACACGTATGTCAGATGCCTTGTAAACAGGTATCCATTGATAGAGCCAATGACACCAATGTGTTCGATTGGAAGTGTTCCAACTCCCAGGGAGAGGCCACAACCAGTAAGAGGAAGTGGTTCTATGAAAGATGAAGGGTGAGTCACATAAATCAGAAAAGTATGTGAGGGAAGCGACGGAAAAACGTTGCCCGCAACGTTAAGACCTATTTCCAAATTCAAAGTTGGGGGAGTTGGGTGCTAGATCTTTAGCAAGCAAAGCGTCGTCATGCGGACTCACCAACAGGGGCGTCTTGAGGCTTAGCCATATCAACTATCCGACGACGGCACAATCGCAGACGACGTATAGATTTAAAGATTTTAGATTTATTGGAGGTATCAGTTATACCGTATGCCCAGCGTGCCTACTTTGGTGAGATTTTCACAGGAATCTTCGTTTCGCTCCGCCGAAACACGCAACCAAAACAACCCTCTCGTCTGTGTCTGCGTCTGATTGTTGTGCGAGGGGAGTCTTGTAGGGCAAGCGAGAACCCGACGAGGCGCACGGCATCCGATCGGAACTGTAGGCGGGTGGGCGCAGGCGAGGGGCAGGCGCAGGCGATCGGAGCGGGTGACGAGAGGCGGAGGTTGAAGACAAAAAGTCATACTGTAGTGATTCTCAAAACCGCAGCCAGCAGGATTTGAACCTGCGCGGGGAGTCCCCAATAGATTTCTAGTCTATCGCCTTAACCACTCGGCCATAGCTGCTGATGATGATCTAAGGGTTAAAATTTAAATCTATAAAATATAATTATTTTAAGCCAATCGCAATCAGCGCGACAGCGACAGCGACAGCGACAGCGACAGCGACAGCGGCAGCGGCATCGGCATCGGCATCGGCATCGGCATCGGCATCGGCATCGGCAGCGGCATCGGCATCGGCATCGGCATCGGCAGCGGCATCGTGTACCTCTAGACCCAGGAATCTCTTCGGACCTTCCGATGTTCCCGATCTAAAAACATCGGACGGCTCAACTTTAGTTGGGCACCCCTAATGACCTCCCATGAGCTGATACATGCACACACCTCGTGTCACTTATAGCTTTTATAGGCCTTATTAGCCTACAGTACTACCTACTTGACTTATTATGATGAGCTCGGAAGATTTACACTCGAGTCAAGAGCTCTCTGTCTCTCGTCTATATTTTTCATCTCTGGTCCACCCACGTCCATTTTGCTATACTATCTCGCATCATAGGACAACTGTGTGTGTAGCTCTAGTCTAAGCTTCTCAAACGTCGGGGTTCTATCCAGATTTGATGATTGCCAATAAGCTCTACCATCTACAGCAAGTAACCGCGCCTCTACGAATATTTGGGCTAAATAATAGTTCCCTGAGCGTAAACGCGACTGGGAGGTCCCCTAAACTGTCGTGTGATTAAGTCCCGAGCTTAACAGCAAACCTTGCTATGCACATTGGTTGAGGACCAGATTTGACCTCAGACTACTGAACTAATCCTGAGTGACAAAGGTCCTTCCACAGTCTATTGCACGATTCTGTGTTAACGTCGCGCCACGTCCTTCGTACAGCCACTAATTTTTTGCATGCCAGCCCACTGTAACTCTCGGACCTACAGGATCTTGTATGTACTTGTAGATTCACCGTCGGTAGCCCAGATATTAAAGCCGTGGTTTGAGTGGCGTTATCCATTTGAAGCACTTCATCCTCGTGCTATGTAGACTTTTGGTGCGGCCATTTTCACAACCAAATTCTTGAACTTAATCTTGGAAGAGTCCACGAGCAGTTTCACGCATCTTCGTTGCCAGTCAGCTGATTGTCGGGAGGATTTGCCAATTGTGTAGCCTGTCATAGCATGGATGCCAAACAGCATGGCTGCACACCGCATCTAGGAGCACGGGGCAGATATTCTTATCTGAATCGCTGCAACCCCAAAAAAGGATATTCTCTAGTCTCTCACCTCCACGGAAAACGCGAGCTCTGCGACCCAGCCGAGCCTGAACTCGCTGTACGTGTCTCGCAGCTCAGAACCGTCCAGGTGAATGTGTAGGGCTTTTGCGGATGGGGGAAAGCTTCCACGCGCAGGGTTAACCCAGTGACCAGAGGAACTCCTTGGAATATAAGCTATGGCGCGGCCGCAATCGCCGATGCGCAGCGCGATATGGGCGCAGAGACGAAGCGACCACCCTAGAGCCACCACGTGGACAGCCCTCCTGTTCCTGTGCTCGCTGTTCGCCTTTAGTGCTGGAGATTGCACCACCTGGGAGTGGAGGCCGGACGTGGGGCGATATGTTATGCTCACGCATACGTGTTCACCTCCCCCGCCGCCCTCTCCGCAACCGTCGCCCCCGCCTCCGCCTCCTGGCTCGCCACCTCCACCTCCCCCCTTCCGCCTTTTTTCCTTCTCCCCCGCCGCCCCCTTCTCCTCCGCTTCCGCCCTCACCCCCACCCTCTCCGCCCTCTCCCCCACCGCCAGGTGAGCAGCCGCGACCTGGCTCTCATCTTCCGATTTTCGCTCCCAGTAAAGGCCTTTCTTAGCGTCCCGGCGAAAGCCAGCGAGGACAGCAACGTGTGCCTTGTCTTTTGGAAACGAGACGAAGAGGTTTCACTTTGCACATTTTCACTCTGAAACCGTTCCACGTATCGCTCAATTTCCCTCCGGCAGGGAGCCCTGCCTGGTACCCCCTTTCCTCCAGCAGATTTTGTGCCCTCTCTCCCCTCCTCTAGCAGATATCGTTATCACTTTGCCCCCCCTTCCAATTAGTAACCTCCCTCTATTTCCGTGCGTTCCGCGGAGGACCTGCAACGACGGTTGAGGGCGCCCCCTGGACGTGGCGGCAGAGGGCGCTTTTAGTGTGGACTTCGATGGTGTGGACGACTACCTCCTACTGCCAGAGGTGAGCAACATCCAGTCGGTCTCGCTGTGGTTCATAAAATCATCCACGCAGCCGCAAGCGACACACTATCTCATCGACGCACGCACCGGAGCGTCCGACGGGTACCTATCCAACAAGTATGTCACTCTTGCCTTCTCTCCCCACCTTCTGACCCTGGAGAGATCGAGAACGGCTCTCTCCCCCGTGTGACCTACAGGGCATTGTGCACAGCTTTTCATCAATTTTCAACAGATCTGGCTCAGGGCAAGCCTCTGGTGCCAGCCTGCTGTATGACAGCTTGTAAGTGCAGACAACATGTCGTGGGTCTTGCGGAAATTGTCGCACGTCCCTGGCCGCGGCCTTGGTTTTGTGTGTGCGGCCCGGTCTTCTTGGGGCATCATTTGGCGGATGCAGGGATGGTGATTACTATGCGAAATTATTCCCTTCTCAGAGCTTCCCTCGATGGGGGCAGGGAAGGGATGTATTTCCCCCCCCCGACCTTCTAACGGCCCCCATCTGCCGAGGAGGGGGACTAAAACTCACAGCAAGCTGCTGAACAAGGCCCAAACTGCCGGTTCCTAACAGAAGGGACGGTGGTGTGGGGCAGCAACTTGGGAGAGGATTGGATGGCGATATACATGGATGGTCAAGAGCTATTCAGCACAGTGCCTCCCCCTCCACCCTCCCCACCTCCGCCACCCTCCCCCACCCCTTCCGCAACCCCTCCTCCGCCACCCCTGCCTCCTATCTTCGACCTCCCACCCCCACCACCCCCGGTCCACCACCGCCCCCCTCCCACTTCCTCCCCTTACTCCTCCTCCTCCCGGCCTCACCCTCTCCACCGCTCCCCACGTCTCCACCCTCACCGCCACCCTCCTCACCTTCATTCCTCCCGCCTTCGCCTCCTCCAGACGCTAGGAACGACGTGTGGAGTCTGATACCCGAAGACACATGGGTGCACGTTGTGCTGGAGGCGGAGCACCGCTTCAGCGACAACCTCAATATTATGAGTGCAATCATCGGTGGGGACTCGGCTGTCATCAAGGGCAACCTCAAGGGCCGCCTCTCTGAGGTAAATCCCTACTTGCCCCTCTTCTTCCCTCCCCTCCACCATCATTAACAGCGATGTTCGGCTCAGCCTCTCTGAGGCGGTTCCCTCCCCTGCCTGACCTGTGCCGGCAAAAGCGGTTTTTTTAGCTGCAGGTCGAAGTAGCACGAGGAGGGGGGTGCGCTACGCGCAGTATGGAACCAGCCGTTGAAATCAAACAGGACGGATGACTGCAGTGTTGTGGAAGAGGCCGTTGACATCAAGGAGGGGAGGCGCTGCAGGTAGGGCTGTGGAACCGGCCATTAACGCCAGTGCAGGTCTCTGAGATCGCATCGCGGGAAGATTTCCAGTACCGCGAAAGTGAGGGTGGTATCGTCGCCTATTTCGCTCTCGAGGAGGGCGCTGGTACCATCGTGCGGGATGTCTCGGGTGCCTATACCCCACCCCCACAGTCCCCCCAAGGGTCCATTTGCTTCCCCAACCCTTCTCAGTTTCGGCGCAGCTCGGAGGGGAGATGCGGTGTGTTCTCACCGTTCTCGCCTCAACCTGTGCTTGAGGCGCTCTGATCTCCCTATGCCGGTCGGCTATGACGATAGGTATTTCTGCAAACTGTATTCCGCACTGGTTCCCCTTTCCCCTGTGATCAGGGCATTTCCGGAGCCGTGTATGAGGGGTAACCTCACGACCGCACGGAGAAATGGACGGTAGTGGGGAAACAGTGTGTAGAGCAGCATCGAGGCCAGTCCAGATCCACAAACAGAAGAGAGGAGCGGACAGCGTGTAGAATAGCATCTCAGGCAGTCCGTATCCACGGCAGAGGAGAGGAGGGGGCAACGTGCGAGGCAGCATCGAGGGCTGTCCGTTTCCACAGATAAAGTCACCGTGAGCCCTATGTTGGTGACCGGCGAGGGGCGAATGTAATGGACGCGAGCTTGCAGGGGAGACAAGCTCAGAGGACTATGGCGTGCTCGTGAATGGTCCCAGCTGGTTGACTGACATGCCCTCCGTTGGCTGGCACCCGACCTTTGTCAACCCTCAGCCGCCGTCTCCTCCATTGAGGCCCCATGTCCCGCCACCGCCGCCTTCACCCCCTCTTCCACTCCCACCGCCTCCGCCATCACCTCGGCCCCCGCCGTCCTTTCCACTCCCATCAAGCCCACCCGAATGGTATGGAAGCCCTGGCGCTGCTGATGCGCAGAGAACCTGCCCCTCTCTGCCCCCCTCCAATGCGTCTCCCCCTCCACGCGCCTTCCCCTCTCTGACCCTCCGATGCGGCTCCTCCTCTCTGACCCCTCTAATACATCTCCTCCCTCTCTGACCCCTCCAATACATTCTCTCTGACCTCTCCAATACATCTCCTCCTCTCTGACCGCTTCCAATACATCCTCCTCTCTGACCTCCTCCAATACATCTCCTCCTCTCTGACCGCCTCCAATACATCTCCTCCTCTCTGACCTCCTCAAATACGTTGTAAACACGCACGGTGGATGGACAAGCTCTCTTGAGACCAGCAGGCTTTGGGGCAGGCAGGGAGCGCGGTGGTGGCCCTGAGCACAGGCTTGGTGATGGGGAGAGGGCTCTGGCAGCTCGGGGGTAGAGGTGGACGGGCTTCAGAGGCAAAGCAGGTAGTGCGCAGACAGAGCACTCACAGAGGCGCTCAGGTGGCCCAGTTGAGGCTTAGGGCGTCCCGTTCTTCACTGGTGAGGTCCAGAAAATCTGGATAAATGGCGCGAAATATGTGCTGAATCCTTTGATCCCCGTTGTGGGGACACAGTGCAGCCGAGCGTTGGTGACTATCTGGTGCCAAAGGAGTCGGTCCAAGGAT